TCCCCAGCCTATACTGGTACTTGGGGTTGCTTTTTCACAGGTTCAAGATTCTACACTTGCCCTTGTTGTATTTCATAAAATTTCTCCCTGCCCAACTCTCTAGCCTGTCTAGGTCTCACTGAATGGCAGCACAGCCTTCTGGTGTGTCAGCCACTCCTCCCAGTTCTGTGTCATCAGCAAACTTGCTGACAGTGCACTCTATTCCCTCATCCAGGTCATTGATTAATATATTGAATAGTACTGGTGTCAGTACAGACCCCTGAGGGACAAATAGGCTTTTCTCAGAAGATCTGGGTGGTGAGTTCCAGGGGTACTTGGATGTTGGATTTCTGCAGACAGAATAGGGGTAGTGCTGATTTTCAAAACTCATTGCCTCTACTGAGAAGCAAGATATGTGAAACTTACCCTTTCAAAACTCATCCTTTATTCATTCCCATCAGCTCTACTGGAAAAGCCAGTGTCTCATACACCATCCCTGACACTATCACTGAATGGAAAGCCAGTGCCTTCTGTGTGGAAGACTTGGTTGGATTCGGTGTGTCTGTGCCTACCACTCTGATAGCCTTTCAGCCTGTCTTTGTGGACCTGACCTTGCCATACTCTATCATCCAAGGAGAAGATTTCCTTCTTAGAGCCAATGCGTTCAACTACCTTGACCACTGCATTAAGGTGTGTAGTTCTGCCCACATTCTTAGACCTTATCCCATCTCCAAAGAAGGTACAGGAAAATGACTGGTGTAGATGACTGGATCTGTCTCTGCTCTTGATCAATGTACTGCTTATGTTATCTGATGATAGATTATCCTGGCTGGGTTTGTCTTCCTAAATCATTACAAAGCAGAGCGAGATCTGTGTGAACTGTTATTAGGATGGGTATATAAGCAACTGTCTCAAGATCCATAGAAGAGGGAAACAAGTGTTTAGCAGAGTATCACTCTCCATCCACAGTTGTGCCAGCCATTGATGGTTTTAGCAGGGGCTTTTCTTCAGTGATGTATGTGAAAGTATGAAGAAGCAAAGGGCTAGTGCTAGACAAAACGAATAAAGCAGGAAGAGCAAGAGTAGACAAACCCTTCTTCTTCTCTGGTGCAAAATTCACCAAAGTGTCAAAACAAGGAGGACAAAAATCCAGTATTTGCTCTATGGAGTATTTGTCCAGCTAGAGGCTGTGTTACTCCCAATCACTGCAGGATTGTACTCTCAATATTCAGTACCTTCCAGGCAAAAATAGTTCAAGAACACGGGTGTACTGCACCTCTGCATGGAAGGATCTTACACACTGTCCAAAGGATACTTGAAGAAAGAGAAACAGGGATCTTCTGTTTGGCTTCTTGATTCTTGTGCTGTATCTAGGAATCCTGAAAAAAAAAAAAAGAACTAGGTAGAGAGTCTAGATTTCTTCTGCTTGATTTGAATTCTGAAAATCAGCTCTCCAATCTCACAAGGAGATCACCAGCAAAGGAGGAAAAATTAAGACATAATTTAGGATTTTTTTTCCCAAACTCTGTCGAATTTGACTTAACAAAACAAAAATGCCTAGGGTTTTAAATATCCTAGAAAAAAAAACCAAAAGAACAATCTCCATTATTGAGGTTTTCATCTCTTAACCTTGTTTTTCAAGTGTTCCTACAACAACAGAGGAAAAAACACTATTCAGTGATTTCCTTTGCAAGTTAGTTCAAAGCTATTAGCCCCAGGTCAACTAAACATAACTCCACATCCTGATCAGGAATTATTAGCCCCAGGTCAACTAAACATAACTCCACATCCTGATCAGGAATTCTATGTATGTACAGACTATTTAACCTCTCAGTGAAAAATGTCATGAGAAGCAAAAGGGAATACTGTTAAGGTTACATCTGATGGATGATTCATCTAACATCATCATCCCAGGCCTTAAATCTGCTCTACACTGTTAACACTGGTCATAAGGAGAGACTACCTCACCCCTGTCTAACAATAAAGCACCATTTGCCTATGGTATAAAATATTCACCACATCACACTTCTCTTCCTGTTCTCAGATTCATGCTATGCTGTCAGATTCCCTTGATTACCAGGCCAAACTCATCTCACCAGAGGATGATGGATGTGTATGTGCCAAACAAAGAAAAACCTATGTCTGGAATATTTCCCCCAAAGAAACTGGTAAGTGCCTTTGAATCTGTCTAGTTTTCTATCTGGAGATTGATACTGAACACTTTATACCTCACCTGGAAAACCTAATCCTCTTCCAACCCAGAGAATTTGGTCCACCACTAGTCTTTCCAGCTGTCTGGGCTAAAGACCTCCTCCAAAACTTCAGTGTGTTTATTATTCCCATTTTCAGAGGTCCATTCTCTTCCTTTATGTCTCACCCAGAATAACTGACCATTCATTACAATGCACTACTTAGTACCTATTGATATTAATTTTCAGATTAAATTTCTTAATTTAGCTATCATTCTGCATGATAGAGATGCTTTTTTTTTCTCCTTTTCAACTACTATTTAAGGTAATGTAGTATTCAGCATTACCGCAGAGACCAAGGATGATGAAGATTGTGGAGACAAAGCACCTAGGAACATCAGTATTGACTACAGGGACAGACAGATCAGAACATTGTTGGTTGAGGTACAGCTGACAGCTCTTACTGTTTGCCCTGTACTCCCTTCTGTGAGAAAAAAAAAATACATCAAAAGTACCAAAAGCAAGTAAAAGTTTTTCAGGTTCCCTAAAGAACTCCTGGTTTGGCTCCACCTTCACCTGGCTTGTACAGGGTCTGGCTGTTCAATCTAAGATCAAGTCCACTCCCATCTGATGTCCTCTTCCATGAGGATCAGTAGGTGTTGGTAAAGTGTATGTCTCCCTCATGCTGGGGAAAAACTGGGAATGAGGGACTCCATCTGATGGGAACTTCCTTTTAATAACAGCCATATCAAGTGTGAACTTGTAAAAGTTGCTTCAGTCCAGCTGTCTTATGATGCAGGAGAATGGTGCAGGGGGTGGATCTTCAGTCAGTGCATTTCTTCTGCATGCTGTGTTCTCATCCACTGCATGTGTCTCTTCTTCCCATCACCATGCAGCCTGAAGGCATCAGAAGGGAAAAGACCCAAACCTCCCTAATCTGTACAAAAGGTGAGTGTCTTATATATGGCTATCCTAAGAGAAACTGAAAAGAAGGCTGGAGTTTGCACCCTTTCCTGCAGTTAGCTGATGCTTTTTCCACAGAGTTGCCCAAATGGCAGCTCATGTCAGTGTTACAGTTTAATTCCCTGTTACAAAATTCCTATGTGATGTGGTGCACACCGCTTAGGCAGTGCCTGTGCTGCAGTCGACAATGCTGAGATGTTGAAGGAAAGCTGCTATGCAGCTATCAAAGGCAGATGACCTTTTTGTGCAAAATCCGTGCTGCGTTTCATGCACTCATGTTGACTGCTGTTCTCTCTTCCAAGGATAACTGTATCTTGCAGCTTTCCACTTCTAGTGGGAATGGGAGAGGGAATATGGCATTCCCTTCCATGCCATCTCAGTGCTGACAGCAGTTTCCAAGGTTTCCTGAAAGCACTGCCTAAAAGAAGCACAAAAGCAGCCCTGACCCTCACCAGCCAGCTCTCCCTACTGTCTCACTGAAGAAATCCCCAGGGTTCATAGACACTACGGCCTGTGAGCACCAGCCTCACCCCATTCAGCTGATGCTGTTGAGCAATGACAGTCACTTTGGTCTGCTTTTCATAGTTTTGGTTTTGCTGTGCCCCCTTCTCTCTTGAAGTTCCAGTGAGAGCTGTGAGTTTCTGTCTTGCTGTCTCTTGTATGCAATTTTGCACTGTGCAATTTCTACCAGGAGCATTTCAGTGTTATAACCACTGTTCCTATACAAATGACCACAACATGATATTTTTCTCCACAGATGATGTAGCTATTCAAGATGTTGCTCTAGATCTACCTACAAATGTGGTGAAAGGATCAGCCAGAGCTTCCTTTTCTGTTGTTGGTAAATATGGTTTCCTTGTGTGGGAAACTTTTGAGCAAAGAGACTGATCCTCATCTTGTCCAGCAGTGCTCGTTGCTGAATCAGAGAAATTAAGTTTAAAAATTGGCTATATCCTTCTTAACTTTTCTGTTCAATTTTATTGCATGTGAATGTTTTACTCTGAAGTAGCACAGTTCTGAGTTATGGCCTCAGCCAAACTCATGTCAGTACATCTTTTTTCCATACATCCACATGCAAATCTTCTCAGTCCTTCCCTGAGGGGAACCTGGACCTAGTTACAGAACACACTAGTCATAAAATCTTTGCTTTGTAATGCTGATGATTTCAGCTCATTCTAGAAATCCCTTGCTGGATTGGTGCTATCTTTCCCAAAAATTAAAATTTAGAGGTGGTCTGTGATACATCTGTATAACTAATGTACCTTTTCAGCATTAGTTGTTAATTCTCCATTACATAGTTAACAGTAGCATCCCTGGGCTGTTTCCCTTCCCTCCTCGGAACAGAAGTTTCCTGGAAGATATTAATTTCTAATATGAAGAATCAACTTGAAGTGGCACTAAAATAGGTAGTGTTTCTGGGGTGAGAAATTTAGGCTAAGTAAGAAGAAGCAGGGAAGAGATTTCTTTGTTGACTACAAAGCATAACAGAACAAATTACTCAGTGCTGTGAGCTTCATGCTTGTTGGAAGGGCTTGCAGCTCCCACAAGGCTTTCTATGACTCTGACCATGGAGAAAAAAAATTACTATTTATTTCAGTGGCCATAAGCTGTGCTAATGCCCCCTGGCATCTGGTCTTCTTGCAGGCGACATCATGGGCACTGCCATGCAAAATGTGCACCAGCTCCTCCAGATGCCATTTGGCTGCGGGGAGCAGAACATGGTCCTGTTTGCACCCAACATCTACGTCCTGGACTACCTGAACAAGACAGGGCAGCTGAGCAAAGAGGTCAAATCCAAGGCCATTGGATTCTTAGTGAGCGGTGAGAGATGTGTGCTGACATTCCCACTGAGGGTCAGTGAGCAGAAGCAGCAGCATGGCTATCCTAGCAGTACAGCTCCACTGCTACAGCGCAGCTCAGTGACCCAAGGATCTGCCCTGATCAAGACGTTTGTTACTTTTGCTTTATCTTCTTTCTTTCCTTATCCTATTTTTCTGACACTCAACTGTCATGTTTTCTTTGAGGTTCTGTCTTTCTGTTCCTTTCCCCTTTTCCACCCAGGCACAGCATTGTTCCCTAATCCTGTTAGCTTAGCTGGACGACAGAGCTGAAACAACTCCTGCTGCTTTGTAGATACATGTCACCTTTCCGCTCTTTCCCACTGTAGTCTCAGAAAATTCTGATAGCAAACAGAATAGGATTTTGTTTTTAAATTAGGAAAACACTTCCTTTCCATATTTTTGCAGGCTACCAGAAGCAGCTGTCATACAAACATCCTGATGGGTCCTACAGCATCTTTGGCACCAGAGATAAAGAAGGGAACACCTGGTGAGTGACTGAGGGCAGAATTCAGAGATGAATTTGCATTGAATTCACATGATGCAAGTAAGAGGCACCTTTACTAGCTAAATCCAATGTACAGATCCAGCTAGGACTAGGACTCTGTAAGTACTAAGAAAAATGGTTCTCCACCCCCTGCCAGGTGGGGTGTACAGAGAGAAGGTGATCTGTAAAGACTGAGCTGATTTTTTGATTCGCATTCCTTCTGTCTCCCATGAAACCCAACGTACTGCAGTGCTCTGTAGCCAGGATCAGCCCCAGAGTGTACTGGACACCTTTCCTCTGTCCCATCTAGATACTACTCCTTTAACTACCCTATCCTGGAGGACCACAAAAAGAGAAAACACGCCACTGATATGTTGGCTCTAACTCTTCATGCTTGTGCATAGCATGAGTGGGAGGGCTGACTTTTTCTGTTCCTATTGCCAGTGCTCATCTCACAGCTTCACCTTTCCCTTGCAGGCTCACTGCCTTTGTGTACAAATCATTTGCACAAGCTAGTCACTTCATCTATATCGATGACAATGTCCAGGCTCAAACCCTGATGTGGCTGGCAAGCAAACAGAAACCAGATGGCTGTTTCCGAAGTGTTGGGACACTCTTCAATAATGCCTTGAAGGTGGTAGAGAATTACTTTTTAGTCAAATCAATGCTTTTTTTCATTAAGAACATGCTCTTCCATTACTGTTAAAAATTATACTTCAAATCATTGTCCTCTGCCAAGGACTAACTCTACACAGCTCAGAATTTGCAGCTCAGTCAGCTTCATCAAACTGTACTTTACATTTTGTGAGCACCTGAGATGGAGTTACAGGTCTGTAAGCTTGAGGGAGAGATATTTTTTGAGGTGAGAGTAATGGGCTTCTTTTGAATTAAGAACTATTTAAGAGCTACGTGTATGCTCTTCTTTCTTTTGGACTGCCTCCAGAACTGGCCATACTCTCCTAGCTGGGATATGACAATTCATATTTAAAGACTTCTCAGTCACTGATTATTCCTCTCTCCATCATTTTCAGGGAGGAGTAAATGATGAGCTGTCGCTTTCTGCCTACATCACCATTGCCATGCTAGAAGCTCATCACTCCAGCTCGGTAAGGAGACCTTCAGCTTCTGGTATGCAGCTAGAATTGGTCCCCAGTTGTTGACTTGGTTTCAGCATCTGCTGCAAATTGTCTAGGTAGCAAAGAGAGAGAAAGAGAGGGAGACATTTCTCCCAGGGAATGTGACCCAGTAATGTATCTGCACTAGTTGCTGTGATGGAGAATTTCCTCATCTTGATACCTCTTAAATCACTAGTGTGCAACAAGAAATTATATAAACCTCAGTGTGATTGGAACTTCTCTTTGAGAGACCCAAGGTCTGTCTGATTGAAAAGACAATGTGTCCTTTTTAAAAAGTAGCTGGTACAAAGGAGACAACAAAGGAGATGTTAGTCTTTAATATATGAGTTTCTCTGCCTTCAGTTTGTCATATCCTTTCTCAGGACCTTCCTGATCAGGGCATTAGTGAGGACACAGAGTCAAACTGTGAATGCCTTTGACTTGGTGTAAACCCAGTACAACTCCACAGGATTAAATAAAAATTGCACCATAGTCACTGAAGCTAGAGACTACTAGGCTGTATTAGTTCAAGACAACAGACATTTGACTAAAAAAAAAATGCAGAGTGAATTATTGTCATGGAGCTAAGCGGAAGAAATTAGCTGTAAAAGAATCAGAACAGTCTTCTGTTTATAGACCGACATCTTCAAGAACACACTGAAAAGCTACTTGATTTGTGGGGTTTCCTTTGAAATCCCTCCTGAAAGAATTGTGTGTTCTCTATTCTGAATTTACTATACAAACTGAAGTCCCTTTCTCATTGCTGTGATAGTGACAGGATGAAGAGCAAGTTTAAAGAAAATAAATGCTTGGCCAGGTGAAGAATATTGTCTTGAATTATATATATTTTTTGTTACTGTTGTTTTTTTAAAGTACCCTGTATTCCGAAATGCCTTTTTTTGTCTGGAGACCGCATCTGAGAAGAGTATCGATGATGTTTACACTCAGGCACTCATGGCCTATGCTTTCTGCTTAGCTGGCAAGGCAGAAAAATGTGAATTATTCCTCAGAGAGTTACAGAAATCAGCAAAGGAAGCTGGTGAGTTTCAACCACTTTGGAAATTTGGGAAGTGGAAAGAGGGAACAGATCTTACTGATGGTATGTGGTCTAACCTTGATAATATCGAGAGTATAGGCATATGAAACAACCTCCACAAATAATCTGTGGATTTAATTTACACATCTGCTGCTCTGTAGAGAGTTCTTCTGATAAACAGGCCAGGAGACAGTATGTCTCTGAGGCAGCATAGTGCAGTGACACGTGTAAATCCATTTTGGTTGCTCCTCACACTCTCTTTTTTTATTCAGATGGCTCACAGCACTGGGAGAAGGAGAAGACGTCTTCATCAGAAAAATCTCCCTCTTTCCTTGACCATGCTCCATCAGCTGAAGTTGAGATCACCAGCTACGTGCTGTTGGCATTGCTCTACAAACCCAACCGGAATCAAGAGGATCTCACAAAGGCCTCAAAGATTCTGCAGTGGATCATCAAGCAGCAGAATCCCTATGGAGGTTTCTCTTCTACCCAGGTGCCAAAACTCACTTCCACTCCCTAGCCAGTCCTAGGAACTGGGGTGCTGGTTCATGGTGCCAGTTTGACTACCTCATCTTATTTCTCTTTTGTATCTGCTGTCTCAAATACAGGGACCAAGCCTTTCTCTTAGAGATCAAAATGCTTTTTTTTCCCCCCCCCCTTCTTAAATGTGGAAAGGTTAAAGTCATACATTAGTAATTTGACTAGCAAGAAATACAGATGTTTGTGTCAGGGATGAGCCTAGAAAACACCAAATCCCAGCGCTTATATGACCAGGAAGTATTCCATAGTTCCCTACAAAACACATGCTTCACCACTATGAGGAATTCTACAAGTGTGCTCTAGTGCTCAGATTTTATGTTCTTAGACCTTCATATGAGTAGAGAGATTTCCTCCACCATAAAATATACATGCCAGAATTAAATAGTTGCTCGTATATTGGAACCCTGGAATTATACACAAATTCAGTGTTTCTTAAGCCAGCACAAAGTGACTGTGCTTTGTATTGGAATTGCGCCAGTCACTCTGTATAGTTAATTGTCTTTTATTATTTTCTTTCTTTCAGGACACAGTCATTGCTCTTCAAGCCCTTGCTGCTTATGGGGAGGCCACCTACAATTCTGTTACACAAAATGTAGTGAAGATCACTTCCAAAAAGTCTTTTGAGAAGGTATTTGTTGTAAGCAATGTGAACAGGCTTCTGCTGCAACAGACTCCCCTTACTGAGGTCCCTGGGAAATACAGCCTGACAGTGAATGGCAGTGGATGTGTACTTATGCAAGTAAGTGTCTGCTCTCCTCTCCTTTGTGTCTCACATTCTGCATACAATACAGCCATGTTTTTGATGTTTCTCTATCTGACTTCTCTTTATTTTTCCTAATTATTTGATTAAGCTATCTGAATACTCTTTTCTCCACCCCACATGCTGACTCCTATGAAGTCACAGCATGGGAAAAAAGAGTCCCTTCTGATTAGCAGCTGGTTTCTCTCTGAGAGGTGACACTGGATACAAGCACCTTCATTGTTAAAGAGCAGAAGTCTGATGTGTCTGCTATTGATGTAAGCTATGATCTTCTGCATAAAAGAAAGAGAAACCTTGCCAGGAAATTTCACTAAGTCTGATGGGGTCTTTTTGGAATGAAAAGAAAAACCTTTGGCATGCTTGAACAATAATGTTTTCTCCTCTTCCAGACAGTACTGAGATACAACATTTACCTTCTAGAGGGGGCCTTTGGATTTTCACTCTCAGTACAGACATCGAATGCTTCCTGCTCACTAGATCAACCAGCAAAATTTGACATTGTCCTTGTAAGCAGGTAATGTGCTATCAACAAATGAGCTGCACAGATGACAAGACAAACAGGGAAGATTGTTGTGTATATTCAGTTCTATTTATAAAGTCAAGAACCATGAGCTAATCAATATATTGATGATAGAAGCTTGTAAGACACAATATTCCAAAAGACCTTGTGGCTATAACCAATGGTGGTAGCACACACTTGTCCCCTTCATACTAGGGACCTCCCCAATGTTTCCTACCTGATCCAGTCTGCAAGGGCATGCGATTCACAACCACCTCCCCATGCTCTACAAGGCCAAGAGCAGGGAGTTGAGATATCCTTTCTCCAGCACGGTCCAGGCTGACAGGAGCCTCTGTTGTTTCAGTTACACAGGGAAGCGCAGCAGCTCCAACATGGTCATTATTGATGTGAAGATGCTCTCTGGCTTTGTTCCTGTTAAATCATCCCTGGATAAGGTAAACTAAAGGAGCAAGATGAAATGAGTTGCCCCAGGGACAGAGGAGAAAACTGGTCATGATGAAAACAGATGCCTGGTTAAGAAGCATTCATCCAAGAACCATACGAGGTGTTTGCCTGGCTGCACTATTTTCATTGCTGGGTGGAGGGAATGCCCTGCAGAGAGCTGTGAGCACACAGACCTTACCCAATTAAAAACTAGGAAGGGTTCCAGCTTGAGCCTGACCAGCTGGCAGCTGCAACTGAAAGCTGGCGCTGCCCAGGTAAAGAAAGGGTGGGAAAGCTGCCAGACTAGTTCTGAAAACTGTTCAACCCCGGGGTCAGGCAGTGTTCCCCAAAGGAACTACAGTGCCTCTCACACACTTGGGAAATGCTCATAACTGCTGCTAAGTCAAGGGGCAGTTTTTGCTCAGTCCTCTCAGCAACATCTGGGGTCGAAAAATCAGCTGCCAGCCCTTGAAACCTGGCTAGAAACTGAATGAATCCCACAGCCATGCAGTGTTCAGGTCTGAAGCAGCACTTAGTTTTTAATGCTTTATAAATATATTGATTTCCATTTACTTGTTTTAAAGCTCATTAACAGTCGCAAAGTGATGCAAGTGGAAAACAAGAAAACCCATGTTCTGCTTTATCTGGAAAATGTGAGTTGTCATCACTATGTATTTGATTTTCACAAAGATGCAAACAGCATATAATAGATGCATGTACAGCATAGATACACTCTCTAAAGTACATTTATCATGTTCCATTCCTCCTCAGCTTTTCCCTAATCACTAAGCTGCTTACTCCTCAAACTGCATGTAACCTCCCAACCTCCCAAACAGCTGCAAACTGATGCCTGCACTACTAGCAACTAGAAATAAGCTAATCAAACTAAGCTCACAGAAATTAATAAAAAATCCTTTTCGTTTCAGTCAATACCAGATAAACATGAGAAAAGAGGCTCTGTTCTGTGTATGTCCCTTTAGCAGACTTCTTGTAAAACCCAGTCCTTCCAACAGGACGCGAAACACTTCTCTGATCTTCTCTGGGAAGATTTCTGTTCCTTCTCTTAGCCTACTTCATTCCCAAATTTAACCTGTAATCTAATCCCTAGATCAGAATTTATGTAGTAAAAGTCCATTTCCTTGGGGCCCTGCAGAACTAACAACAGAATCCAAGAGCCCAGTGATATACATTGATTGCCAGTTTCTTTGTGGCACAAATTTTTCATGTCTGAAATGGGCGGGGCCACTGGGAGATCCTGGAGAATTAATCTCAGTCCCTGGTGAGGTTTTTTTCCTCTCTGGCAATAGGATGTGTAGTAACTCCTTTGGACTCTCCAAATATATTTCAGGTAACATGTCCCACATCCGTACCTGTGGCATCAATGGGATTTAGAATACACAGTTTATCAGTTACACCCTGGTCTGCTCCAGATGGTGTTGTACAAATAAAAAGACTTATGTGATCTCTGTCCCTTCATTCACAGCTCTCACAGAAGAAAAGAAAAGAAATCACTTTCTCAGTTGAGCAGGACTTTGTAGTGACCCATACCAAGCCAGCCTCTGTGCAGATCTATGATTACTATGAAACAGGTAGGTCTTTGATGTTAACTAACATGAAGTTTGGAAGAGGGACAGGGCTAGGAGAAACACTGTGTGCATTAACACAAGACCCAGAACCAGCCCCTCTGGAACAAACATTCTTCTGAACCCTATCAGGATCTGGATCTAGTGCCAGGGGAGAGACTAATTACACTTCAGTGAGCTTGATCTCATGCCCAAGGTGACAAGTGTGCAACAAAAATGCAAGTGATAAAAAGAAGGAGATTTCAAGGATCTACAGCTTAAGTGTGTGTAGGTTATACTCACCTCCACAGAAAGGTACAGAATGTGGCCTCCAGGCTAACAGGAATATTTCTTTCCTTCTTCTCCAGAAGAGTATGCTGTTGCTCAGTATACGTCACCTTGCAAAGAGACTGTTGCAGAAATGGACTAAAGATTAGCAAAGGTGAGTGAGAATCAGAAAAAAAAATGCAGACAAGAAGTTCAAGTACAAAGCATCATGAGCAGAGGGACTGGTGGCAGGATGGCCAGATCCTCTCCCATGACACACGTTCAGTGGACTCCAAGTGGAGACCCTATTGTTGTTTATGGGAAGAGCTCAGCCTCTAGGATGAAAGCCAAGGAGCAAAATAACAGAAAGACTGTGAAATACCTTCAGAGTTAGCTCAGAAGCATTGATGCTTAGAAAGGAATAATCTACCTACAGACATCCTTGAATCCTCCCTTTTGAAGTCTGTGCTTCATGGGCAAGGTGCTTCACATGGACTTACAGAAACCCTTTCCTCAGCAGTAGATATATTTTCTGAGGGGGGCACTAGAGGTGGCTTGAATAATGGACGTGGTGTGTTGACTAGGCAGGAGCACTGTGCTGTCTTGATGTAGGAGAGGTCCAGCTCTGTGTCCTGCTCAGCAAAGCAGTTATGCTGGCTGTTACCTGCTGAGTAGTTCCTGAAGGGTAAGGGCACAGCTTACTGCCAGACCTTGGTCCAATGTTTTACTGTTTTGCACAGAAGGGGCTGACAATCATGCATCCTGAAACTGTATTTTATATCCTGCAGTTGTTGGTCTGGTCTCATTGAGGTTATATTTCTTTTGAACTTCCCCCTGCAGGACCTTCAAAAACATTGAACAAGTGGTCAAGTACCCTGTTTTCTTCTGTCACTAAGTCCTGCAAAGGGCCATTTCACCTTGCTAATCACAGTGGGAGCCTGTGACATCATTTGAGTTAGTGTCTGATTCGCTGTTTCCTTTCAAAGAACGTGTCTCCAGATCTGTATCATAATCAGTATACCTTTCCATCAATAAAACTCCATTTTACATTGGGCATTGCCTTTTTTTTCCTGTGCCGCAGAACAGATATTTTAGTGATGGTCCTCGGGCTGTAGTTGCTGGCTGGGCGAGGATGAGGGAAGAAATATATCTGACCCACCTACAGCACTCAGCCTCCTCTCCCAGCTACAGCTCAAAACCACTGGCAACTACTGTAATACGCAGCGTGTTCAGTCCCTCCCACCTCTGGAGTGTAGGACTCATTGCTCAATGCTCCTGAACAGTCCCTCAACTTGCCCCAGAGCTGCCAGGATGCTGCCTCTTTCCTTAAGATGTAAAAGTAGGGTTTTATTCGTGGACATCATGGAGTGATTCTGAATCATGCATAGTAGAGGAGAGGGTGAAAGAGGGGCTGGATTCTGTCCAGGCCTGGGGAGTGCCTGGTCCCACATCCTAGGTGGAGAGGTGGGATCCTCACAGGTGATGGGATCCAGCTCCACACCAGCTGATTTGCCATATACTTGGGGCTGATCATCCGCCACACAGCAGCAGGGAGAAAATGATGAATCTGTCATTGATTTGGGGTAAAAACAACGTGCCATGCAAGGGTGTGAAAAAAGAATTTAAGTGGAGATGCAAACTCCAGATGGCTAGTATGCATTTTGAAAGAATCCATTTCACCGGGCAATTTGCTAAATTTGTGCATGGCCTTATTTTGGTTTTTTAAATTAAAAATAACCGTCATGTCAACACAGAATATCCCTCTTTTCAACTATTTTTTTTTTTTTACAAAAGGTAGTAAATAATTTAAGTCAGTGGGTTTTGTACTTCTGAGTTACTCAGGCCTCACTCCTCAGCAAAACAGTTGTCAGTCTCTGCAGGCAGCAGGGTACTCAAATACTCACAGGACCCATCAGCCATATGTGAGTTTTAGAACTGCATAGGACTGGCCATCCAGGATATGCATGATACTGATGTTATAAAAAGCCACTTCAAGTTTCACAGATGAGGAATTTGCGGGGCATGAAATTGTTTTGCAAAAGAGTGCACATTTCCATGCTAAATTCCAAAACTAATAATCCACTGGCAGTAGGAGGGAAGCAAGAAAGTCTGTGGATTTTGCTTTGCTGACATAACCCAACTGTAGCAACTCACTCAATTTACACGAGCATTGGACTGGACTAAAGCAAGAAAAATCAACAGTTAGAGCAACAAGGTTGAAAAGGAGAGCAGGCAGAGTGGATGTGGATACAGGATGTGCAACTTTCTGGAGGATTTGAGGCCAGTTAAGCCAAGGCTTCAGCATTCCACATGAAACTCATAAAAATACCCCTCAGGTCTGGCCAAATTTTATTCTGTTCAGTCAAACATAGTTTTCTGGGAAGAAACAAGGTTTCTCCCTGGGGGTATGGGGGTGGGTGGGGGTAAACACCTGGATTTTTATCATTCTTGTGAAGCTGTCTTTTCCTCTTAGGCCAAACCTGAACTACTAAAACATCAATAGAATATTTTCCACTGCAGATCTCTCCTTTGCATGCTGAAAATATAATGCTGATCCTGCCTTGGAGTCCTCTGCTCCTGCCTCCTATCTCACTAGTGCTCCTGCTGGGAGAACCAGGACCTCCCTTAATAAGGTTGATTTCACCAGAGCTCCTGGACCCCATGTTGTCACGCTGTGTATATAATCTGGCAGCAGGGAGATTCGAAGAGTCTTACTTCAGAGTGAAAGGAGGGTAAATAGGAATGAGGCAGGCAGAGCTGGAGAGAAAAAAGAAAAAAAAATCACCCTACTGTGTACTGACAGGGCTCTGCAGGCATGCTACCAAAGTGCTAACATTGCAGAGTTTTTTTCAGCCTTCCACTCTGGCTCAGTACCCACAGGGAGGTCAAGGCTGGGTCATTACCAGAGGCAGTTGCATAACCATGCCACATGTTTTCTACTTCACTTTACTGGAAGTGACTGGCTCTAGGCCCCATTGGTTCCCTTTGCTCTCCCTTCTGTCAAGGCAAGGTGTGTCCACACTTAGTGACCTGAGGTCTGTGCCATGGTAAAGCTCATCTGGGAAGTCCCATCTGCTGAGTGTGGGATGCACAACTGACTCTCTCCTCACAGCCCCTGGCTGCCTAGGTGAGGTCTTGAACCCTTCCAACCGCCCATGTCCAGTGGAGAGTATCCCAAAAACAGGAGGGAAGTGCAGTGGTGTGACACAGCCAGGGCAGGGTCTGCAGCAGGACACCCTGTTCTCCAGCTGTGTTACAGCATCACAGCTCATACCCCTTTCCCTGACCTTAAGGGCCAAACTCCACTAGCTCTGTCCTACCTAACAAGGTGCAACAGTATGAAGTAAAGGTGCAGGGGAAAGGGTTAAACATGAGAATATCTGATTTTCTTGTCACATACTCCATCAGGACTTCTCACCTTGCTTTCCTGTAGCAAACTCCATCTCAAAAATCCAGACTCTTATCAGCTGAACCTCAGCTTCTCTCTGCACTGGGGAAAGACCCGTGTCTTGAGCACCAAATGACATCTGGCTTAGCTGTGACACAGGGAGAAGCCTGGGCTTGCCTGATGCTACCCAGCAAGTCAGTAGCTGAGCTAAGCATAAAGCCCTCACGGCTGGAGGAGAGACCCCCTTGCACAGCCACCACAGCAAGTACAGCATGGTCTGTCCCGCTGGTGGCATGGGCACAGCCCTCTGCTGCCCTCTCCTAGCAAAGCCATTCAGAGAGGGGCAATAGTTTGGGGGTTCAATTTTTTGTAGATAAATAAACATCAAATCTAAATGGGAAAAATCTTTGAAATGCCTATGCCATGTAAGTACAGTCTTTTCCTCTGTTAATGCTCTTGCTCATGGCCTTGCACCATCAAGTTAGGATGGTTTTGGGGGTTGGCTATCTCATGGCACCTCTGGGAACCTCTTCTGTTGTTGCATTACCCTCAGGAGAAGCATCTTTAACTTCCATCTCCTCAGCATATATAGCTTGGCCCATTGCCTCTGCTTCTGACACTGTGCATCTCTGAGAACATCCTGGCTCCAACTTCATTCCACCTGTCTTGAACATCAGCCTTGGGGCCTGCAGAAGGACCTTCATGAAAGGCCTATAACTCATCTGAGCGGAGAGGGAGCCCAGGCAATAACATGACAGCTAAAGCTGAACACAAAGTCTAGATGAATTTTTTATGGGTTTTTGGTATGTTAAAATTTTATCTGAAAAGAGGAGTCATACCACTCGAAAAGAGTATAGTGAATTGTCCCAAGTGCTGTTTTCAGACATGTTTGTAAATGCCTCAGCTTTTCTTCTCCCTTTTCTTGGCAATAGTCTTAGTAATATAAATGAATAAATGAAAACAGCATTTTACTCTTTACTACATAAGGAATTATCTTCATTTCTCTGTGATATCAAAAAAGAATCTGTGAACACGCGAGCAGCTACTTTCTCGCTTATATTTGCTTTTAATTTATTAGATCTCATTCACTAATTAGCTTTAATTAATTTAATAGTGGGATTTCAACAGCTGCTCCTACTCTCTACATACTGTGCACTACAAATACCAGACAGACACACTGCAGAGTTCTCACACCAAAGGTTTAACAACCTTGGTTGCAGTCTTTTTTGCAACATACAGCACAGGTTTCTTTTAGGACAAGACAAAGTTTATACATAGAGGTGACATTGGAGAAGTGGATAAACCCTCCTTTGTGTAAGACTTGCTCTACAAAAGGGCTATCCTTATATCACACAAAATACAGTCACTGGACTATTCATATAACCCAGCTACCAATTTAATTTGCAATGTAATCTACAAAGCACATTAAAATGAGAGCAATTTGTTGATGCCAATGCCATGCCTGAATTTACTCATTTGCTTATAGGACACCTCAGAAACATGAGTTATATTTTCCAGCCCAGCTGTCTATGCCTGGGAAAAGCAGTTAATGTGCCACCA